TGCCTGTGTCCTTCATAATTGCTGATCTTGACAGTCAAGGCAACAATTCAAGCCTTGAGGGAGTTGGTGTCCTCAGGGTTTGCCACAAGCTTGTTCATCAATTGTTCTTTTTTGATTTTTAGCTTCTCCTTCTGAGTCCCCACTTCCAATCGCAAGAGTCTGCCAAAACCAGTTTGGCTCAGTGGATAGAGCGTTGGCCTGTGGACTGAAAGGTCCTGGGTTCAATCCTGGTCAAGGGCATGTACCTTGGTTGCGGGCACATCCCCGGTGGGGGGGGGGGGGGTGCAAGAGGCAGCTGATCAGTGCTCATCGATGTTTCTAACTCTCTATCCCTCTCTCTTCTTCTCTGTAAAAAATCAATAATATATATATATATATATATATATATATATATATATATATATATATATATTTATATATTTATTTATTTTTTTTTTTTTTAAGAGTCTTTCTTTGAGGAGCATGGATGGTGCAGGTCATCTTCTTGGCTGGGCCGGACTGGTTTCTGGACAGCATATCCATGATGGCCAGGAGACCCTCCTCCAGTGTCCTCCACCTCTCCTGAACCCTTTCCCTACTCCCTTTACCATTTCTGTAATGCTGGCTTGGTGGTGATTAACTCTTTAGACTTTTTTTTTCTTTTTCTTTTTTTCTGGGAAGTTCTTTATTTCACCATTTTAAGTTATAGCCTTGCTGGATATATTATAGTAATCATGGTTTCAGATCCTTGCTTTCCATTACTATAGAATTTCTGATGAGAAATCAGGTGTCAGCCTTATGGGAGTTCCATTGTAGGAAACAGTTTACTTTTCTCTTGATGCCTTTAAGATTTTGTCTTTAATTTTTGGCATTTTAATTATGATGTGTCTGTGCATGTGCCTGTTTGGGTTCTTCTTGCTTGGTACTATCTGTGCCTCCTGAACTTGTCTTTTTTCCCTCACTAGATTAGAGAAGTTTTCTGCCATTTCTTCAAATACATTCTCCATCCCTTTCTCCCTTTCTGCCTCTTCTGGTTCACCTACTATTCAAACATTTTTACATTTAATGTTGTCACACAGCTCCCTTAAGCTGTCCTCCTGGTTTTAATTGTTTTTTTCTTTTTGGTTCTCTGATTTTTTTCTACCCTGTCTTCTAATTCACTGATTCAATCCTCAACTTCCCCCAATCTGCTGTGTATTCCTTCCAATGTGTTATTTGTGCTGTCATTCTTTATTTCTCTTTTCTTAGTTACTGTATATCTTCTCATGCTGTTGAACATCTTTACCATCATTATTCTCAACTCTAAGTCAGGTGAATTTCTAATCTCTATTTCAGTCATCTCTTTCTGTAGAATTCTCTTGTTTTCATTTGGGGTTCCCCCCCCCCCCATTTGGGTTTTTGACTATGTATCAGGTAGATCTGCTATGCCCCTCAATCTCTAGTGTTAAACACTTTCTAGATAGATCAGGCAAAGACTCAAAGCCTCCAGAGACCACCTCTATCTGAAGTCTGATTGGATTCAGTCTAGAATAGCCCTCATGCAATTGTCCACAGTGTCGTGAGTTTTTCCAATAGGGTGGGTCAACTGTCTTAGTTAGCAAATGCCTACATGAGGAAAAATGACCTTTGCAGTATAAGGAAATGACTCAGCACAGGAAATTGAAGGTGTCTGCCTTCTTTGTTCTAACCCCAGCACCCCCAATCTTGGCTTCTGCTCACACAGCTCCAGTCCACTTTGCCTCTCCCTCCCAGAGCACAGGTGGGTTGCTGCACAGGAAATTTTGTGCACTGGCTCTTTAAGAGTGTGCCTGCATTTCTAGCCCTCTTTCCCTGGCAGACAGCAATCTTGCCACTTTTCACAGCCTGTTCTGGTACTCTCTACTGGGGGTCCCAGGTTTGGGCTTAGACCTGAGTTCTCAGTTGGCACCCCCACAGCTGAGATCTCTCTCCAGAACTTCAATTGCTGTCTGTGGGAGCCGGGTCAGTCCTTTCATGCCTCCAACCCTACCAGTCTCTGTGCAATCTCCACTTTCAGTCGTTGGTTATCAGGGTTTTCTCTAGCAAGTCTTCAGTTGATTTTTCAGGTTTTTCTGTATTTTAGTTGTAATTCCAGTTTGGTCCTGTGAGTATGTCCATGAAGCATCCACTTAGTCTGCCACCATGTTTTAATCTCCCTGGGTGTTCTGAACTGGACATACAAGGTAGCACCTCTGAGCTCAAGCACCAGGGTGAGGCCCTTGGGTACCCAGACACATATAAGGAACTGGATGGTGTCCCATCGGGGCAGGAACTTGGGGGAGGCTTTCTTCCAGACAAATCACAGGGATCATTGTTTCTGGGCTGGGATCTCCTGAGGCACAATTTTAAATATGGGGCTGTGACACTCATGAAGACCTGCAGGAGGGACTGGGGCTGCCAAATGGCCCAAGCAATCTGCAGGAGGGGCCAGGAGTATGCCAGGCACATCAAAGAAGCCACGTAGCTGGAGCTGCAGGACCAGGCCGAGATAGCAGAGGTCTGGAGGAGGAGCAAGAGCACATGGGAAAGATGGCAGCATTTGTGGATTGAAGGTGCTGGTAGAGAATGATTGGCGACTGGCGGAAGCTGTTGAGGACTAGAGGGAGTAAGCTGGAATATGGAATATGAGTTGTTAGTGGGAGACTGGGAACTTGAAGTTGAGATTCAGGGGGCGCGTTAGGGATAATGTGAAGGTCCAGGGCATGACCTTGGGGTGGGCTGAGGAGAGTGAGGAACAGGAGGAATCGAGCGTGCGTGATCTGATGATAGAGTCAAAGCTGGAGGTTCTCAGAGGCAAATGCTACCTGGAAGAGAAGGGGGCACTTATTACTTCCATGCCCAGTGGAGGTAGTAAATGCATTCAGTGGCATCCATGACCCTTCGTCTTGGCTCCCTTTTGAGTCCCAGAGGGCCCAAGATGTGACCCCTCCACCCTAATAAGACGTGAGCAGTGCCTGGCTAGTGTGGCTCAGTGGTTGATCATTGACCTATGAACCAGAAGGTCACTGGTACAATTTGGGTCCAGGCACATGCGAGCTTGATCTCTAGTAGGGGTGTGTAGGAGGCAGCCAATTGATGACTCTTCTCTCATCAATATTTCTCTCTCTCCCTTCCTCTCTGAAATCAATAAATATATATTTTAAAAAAAGAAAAGAAAAAGGACATGAGCCGTAAACTGATAACCATTCCCTTACTGCACCAATATGAATGCAGTCAATTTCTTTTAAATTAACCCCACAAAATAACATTCCCCAAACTCTTTTATTCCACAAAATATGGAGCACAGACTATTTTATATACATTTACTTTATTTCAAACTTTTCTACTGGCTTTGATAACATTTAGAGAATAAGAATGAAAACAAGGCACTATTGTAGCACATCGAGAAATAACTTTATCCAAAGGGCATTCATGTGGAAAATATATTCAACATCAGTTCATATATTCCGAACTTACACATTCATTGTAAGGATGACACTCAAAAGGCACAAGAGTTCTTGCAGTCACAGCCAGGCATCCTGACTGTCAGCTGCTTGCAGGAGAGACGGATGAAGATGGGTTTCCAGGAAACACAGCGGGTGAAGGGGAATGACCATCAACTCAGTTACAGTATCTCTAAATGCACTTTGAGAACTAGTGGCACTGGAATGAATGGTGGCACAATGGGCAAAGGGAGCATCCTATATAATAAAAGCCTAATATGTAAATCAACTGAATGGCAGAACAACCAGTCGCTTTGATGTCACTGACCACCATGGGGCAGACACTCGACGCAGGAGCTGCCCCCCAGCCCGCAGACCCCTGGCCAGCCAAGGCAGGTGCCAGTGGGGGCCCCCAGATCGCCCTGCTGGTTGCCCCATAGATAGACTCTGATCGCCAGCCAGGCCTAGGTACTCTACCCATACATGAATTTTGTCATAAGGCCTCTAGTTTAATATAAAACAAGCCACATCCGATGAGGTGGCATGTAGGAATTGTAAGGACTTTATAAAGTAATTTAGAAATTATAACAGCTTTTATTCAAAATTGCAATAAGGTATCCATTACCCTAATTTCCTGGAATCACAGTTCTTATCAGAAACAGCATCTAGTGATGAACCTGGTCAAGAATGAATAATAAAAATCTAATTTTAAAAGGAAACATTCTATTGAAAACTAGAATATGAAAGGTGTGAGGACTGTAATCAGCGTGGAACCAATGAGCCCTTCACGCTGATGACCCCAGCGCCCCCTGCAGGTGGTGTTGGTGCTGCAGGAGAAACTTAAGGGTCCAGGATTTAAGAGGGGCCATGTGGGTTTAAAAGGAAACAAAGGCAGCAACATCTCTGCCGCTTCCAAGCACACAGAGCTGCAGCCAGAACACAGACAGGGCTGCTCTCTGCTGGGGTTGCATCCTCCAACATGTCTGAGAACCGGGAACATGCACTGACCTGTTAACACAGCGGCCTCCCAAGGACTGTGATCTACACAGTTTTAACGTTGAAGTTGAAGATGATTGCAGCCGAGATCGGTTTGGCTTAATGGATAGAGCGTCGGCTTGGGAACTGAAGGGTCCTGGGTTCGATTCCGGTCAAGGGCATGTACCTTGGTTGCGAGCATATCCCCAGTAGGGGGTGTGCAAGAGGCAGCTGATCGATGACTCTCTCTCATTGATGTTTCTAACTCTCTATCTCTCTCTCCCTTACTCTCTGTACAAAATCAATAAAATATATATTTAAAGATGATTGCAATATAAGGGCACGTGCGACCCTGGGCACACAGATGCTTGGACTGCTGCCAAACCATTCTGATGGGACCAGGTTTGCTAAGCAATGTGTTCTAAAGGGTAAAAATCAGGGGAAATTCTACTCTTAAAAAAGCATATTTGCAATACCTTAATCAATAAAAAAATTAAAGATTGAAAAAAAACCAAAAAAAACGGGATGGGATGAGGACCAATGAGAAAACAAAACAAAAGCATGTAAAGTCCGCTATATTCAAAGGCAGGAGCTAGATTTTTTTAAAAGTTACAATAGGTTTTATGCTTAATACAGTACATCCTGGGCTTAGTACATGGCACATTATTAATGAGAAGTGTGATTTTGATTATCATGTGTTTAAAAATCAACTAAAAATGTTACTAAAAAAAGGAACAATGTCTAAGTGAATGCATCCAGCGTAAGGGGCCTCAGCAAGCAGGTCTGACACGCCCTCCCGATGGCGCCGTGGCCCACCCGCACCAGGAATGGTTTGTGGTTTGGTCCCACTGCTCCCCACAGAGCAGCGCAGCACTGCCCCTTCCGGGAAAACGCTCCCGCAGCAGGGATTCCAGGACAAGCCGTGGCGCACACACGCAGACCCGGGCTCACGGACAGCAGTGACACGCACGGCCGCTGGCGCAAGGCTCAGGCCGCCGGCTGTGCCAGGGGCGGTGTGTGGCCCGTCACTCGGTGCCTGCAGCAGGCGCGGCCGGAACGTGCCGACATCAGCCCTGGAGAGCACGGAGCTGTTACAGGAACAGCTCCAGTGTCATCTACTCTGAGCAGCTTGTCACTGAGGTGGGGCTTGTTGCACAGAAACCTGGAATCACACAGCCCAACAGGCTCCATTCTTCCTACTGGGAACCATTGGAAACGCAGCCCCTCCTAGGAAAGCAGTCACAACAACAAACCAGTTCCTCGGGAGTGTCTCCTCCAGACAGCCTCACTGCAGCCCCCGCGTCAGAAGCCACCACTGAACTGATTGGTAGAGATTAACTTAGCACTTTTCCTCCAGAAAGTATAAAACGCTTTATGTAGAAAGAACCCGTAGAGAGCTAGGTTACAGCATGAATGCCGGTGACAGGGAGCGGGGCTGGGCACGGTCGGGAGGCAGACCTTCACTTGGCGGGCGCGGGGTTCTTGGGTGGCAGCAGCTTGTAGGTGTTGAAGTAGCCCACCACCTGCTGGGGGATCTCGGCCAGGACACACTGGGCCAGCGCCTCCTTGGGAGCCTGGAGAACACAACCAGTGACTTCATGAGCAATCACATTTTCACTGCCCCCCTCACCTTTTTAGTTAATCCTCATCCAAGGATATCTTTCCCATTGATTTTTAGAGTGGAAAGCAAAGAAAGAGGGGGAAAGAGAGAGAAACATCGCTATGAGAGAGACACATCAATTGGTTGCCTCCTGCATGCACCCAATCAGGGCCAGGGATCAAACCTGCAATCCAAGTAGGTGCCCTTGACAGGGAATTGAACCCAAGACTCTTTGGTGCAAGGGCAACACTCTAGCCTATCTAATAAAAGAGTAATATGAAAATTGGCTGTCACTTCAAGACACAAGATGGCCGCCCTCATGTGGTCAAAGATGGCCTCCACAAGATGGCCTGCAGGGGAGGGCAGCTGGGGAAGACCAGACCAGCAGAGGAGGACTGTTGGGGTTGACCAGGCTGACAGATGAGAGCTGTTGGGGGGGACCAAGCTAGCAAGGGAGGGCAGTTGGGATGGACCAGGCCTTCAGGGGAGGGCAGGTGTGTGTTTGTGTGTGTGTGGGGGGGGGGGGGGGGGGGGGGGGAAATCAGGGCTGCAAGGAGGGCAATTAGGGGTGACCAGACCAGCAGGGAGGGCAGTTGGGGATGATGAGGCCAGCAGGGGAGGGCAGTTAGGGGTGACTGGGCCATCAGGGGAGGGTAGTTGGGGGTAACCAGGCCTGCAGGGGAGGACAGTTAGGGGTAACCAGGCTGGCAGGGGAGGGCAATTAAGGGCAATTGGGCCAGCCAGGGAGCAGTTAGGCATCTGGCAGGGGAGTGGTTAGGGGGTGATCAGGCTGGCAGGGGAGTGGTTAGGGGGTGATCAGGCTGGCAGGCAGAAGTGGTTAGGGGCAACCAGGCAGAGGCAGGCGAGCAGCTGGGTGCCAGAAGTCCTGGATTGTGAGAAGGATGTCCAACATTCTGGTGGGACCTGGCCTAAATGGGCAGTCATACATTACTCAAGGTGTCCCAGACTGGAGAGGGTGCAGGCTGGGCTGAGGGACAACCCCCACCCCTGTGCCCAAATTTCATGCACCAGGCCTCTAGCCCTTTGATTTTTTTGTTTTAAAAATATATATATTTTATTGATTTTTAACAGAGAGGAAGAAGGGAGAGAGATAGAGAGCTAGAAATGTCGATAAGAGAGAAACATTGGCCAACTGCCTCTTGCACACCCCCTACTGGAGATGTGCCCGCAACCAATGTACATGCCCTTGACTGGAATCGAACCTGGGACCTTTGAGTCCGCAGACCGATGCTCTACCACTGAGCCAAACTGGCTTCGGCAGCCTCTAGCCCTTTGATAAAAACCAGGATTCCGCAGTCCCACCTCTGTGCCTGCATCCAGTCTCAGGGTCAGTCTGACAGCAGGGAACGAGCTGAGGGTGCTGACCTCCACCTGGCATGCAATGACTCTTGTCCTTAACTTTCAATGCTGGTCTTATTCACTCACTATTTATTTTTTTGGCTTCTTATTTAGAATAATTATAGATTCATAGGAAGTTGCAAAAATAATAGACGTCGAATGTTCACTTCACCCAGTTTCCTCCAAAGGTAACAGCGGGACAATATCAAACCCAGGACAGCGACACCATCCAGGGCACAGCCCTTACTGAATCTCGTGTCACGTGTGTGTGTGCGCGCGCATGCACATAGCTCTGTGTGATCACAATCAAGATACACAGCTGTCTCAACACCACAAAGACCCCCATGGCTGCTCCTTAACCACACATGGGCCAGGTCCTGCCCCCGTCGCTGGGCGGGGATGGCGCAGCCACTTGGGAAGTTCACAGGCTTTTGCTAACTGAACACGCAGCTGCACTTCTGCGTACTTCCCCCAAGCGGCATTCAGACGCGCCTGTGCGTGATGTTAACAGTGGCTGGTGTGTACGAGCTGCAGGTGCCCTCAAACCACGTGCCCACAGCGGCTCTGAGCCTGCTCGCAGCCTGTGAGGAATCACGGAGAAAAGGCCAGCCCCAAAGGCTCCTGCTGTGAGACTCTATTTATGTAAGTTTCAAAATGATAAAATCAATGATAAAAGGCCAGCCCCAAAGGCTCCTGCTGTGAGACTCTATTTATGTAAGTTTCAAAATGATAAAACCAAACTAATGGCTGCCAGGAATGAGGGATTCAGGTGGGAGGGGACGGGGTAGCTGTGAAGGGTGCCACTTGGTGGGCCCGTGGGAGGGACCAGGCTGGTAGCAGTGTGCCACTTTATGAGATGCTACTACCATTGGAGGAAACTGGTAGACAGTCTCCGAGAGACTCGGCAAACCAGCCTGTAGGCAGTCCGTTCCTCACACACGTGTGCAAGACTGGCTGCCAGGAGGGGAAGATGAGCTATCCTGACAGTCTCACTGGTTTAACTGGCCACACTCTGTGGGAGGCACGCAGGTCAAAGCCCGAAGCAACCCCACCACGGCCAGCACCCGCCCGCCACCGGGGCAAACGGGGAGGCGCAGGCACTCACGTTCTGGAACTGTCTGAAAGGCACGAACTGCACGATGTCCCTCGTGGCCACCTCCCCCGATGGGGCGCGCAGGGCGCCGCTGTCGCTGTCCAGGAACTCCATGGCGCTGAAGTCGGCGCCGCCCACTCCGACGATGATGATGGACATGGGCAGCTTGGAGGCATTGACGATGGCCTGCCTGGTCTCGTCCAGGTCAGTGATCACGCCGTCGGTGATGATCAGGAGCACAAAATATTGCTGCCAAAGAGAAAGCGCGGCCCGTGAGCAGCTCGGAGTGCCGACACCTGCAGCTCGAGGACCACCTGCTACAAGAGCTGACGTCTGGGTGGCAGGGAGTTCACCGGAAACGTGCGCGCCCACTGAAGGGTGACAGGGCAGGAGACAGGCCGGCGAAGTCCACTGGGGCAAGGTGTGGAGACGCCACGGGTAAGTGCCCAGCAGGCGCAGGCGGACACACTTCCTTTAGCTGAAGTGGTGAAGCCGTCCCCGCAGGAGCATCGGCCAAGGGAGCGAGAGCCAACTCCGGCGGAAGAGGGAGGACTGTTTATAAACTAAAGGACACGTCGGTGTGGACGTGTGTGGGGGGTTCCCTCTGTCAGTTATCTAATAAATCACCAGCGTGCGGCGATGTCACATAAAGCATCGTCTGGGACCTTCACGGGAGTCCGATTTGTAACAGCGCCTCAGGTGCTGAGTGTGCACACGGCCCAGGCCCGGGCACGTGACTAAATCCCCGTTCACTCTTCCCTCCCCGTGTGCGTCCTCGCCCTGCCTCACCCCGAGAAGCAGCGAGGGGTCTGCCACAGCACCCAGTGGCAGGTCTGAGACAAGACATGTGGTGGGCAGCCTGTCCCTGCCTGTTTCTAAGGATCACTCGATGCCGTCCCCACCGAGGGAGACGGTGCCCGCACTTCAAGCTCTGCCTTGGCCCCTCGATGGTCACGGCAGACAGGGGCCCGAACAGGGCGGGCCCGCACCTCACTTCCGGGGAGGGACACTTACAGAAGCCGTCTGCTGCTGTGTGGCTGCAGCAGCAAACCTGGCCACGTGGTTGATGATCGGGGAGAAATTCGTCGGTCCGTAGAGCTTTATCTGAGGCAGGCAGGCCCGATAGGCCTCCACGATGCCCTGGATCCCTGGGCAGAAAGAGCAGCGTGAGTTCTCAGGTGCACTCCCCGCCAGTGTGATCGCACAGGACACAGCACTCAGCCCGCCAGGCCCACAGCCACTGCGCTGAGCGATGAGGGTGGGCACGTCCCATCACGTGCACGTGGAAGAGTCTATTCCTGTATCAGTACTTATTCACGTATCACTTTCCGTAGGAGCCACTGTAAACCCACTCCCGCCCACCCTGTGCAGCACACACCTCCACGGCAAGCCCTGTCAACCTCCCGGCCCAGGACACGAGTCTCCCGCTGAGCTCCAGAGTTACTCACTGTCCACAGGACTGACTGTCAGGGCGCTTAGCTTTGCTGCTAGGGATGAGACTCGGGGGAAAGGACTGACAGAGGCCGACAGCCACTGGACATTTCGAGGAGAGGAGGCGGCGCTGGGAGTTCTCTGGCGGGTCAGACAGAAAGCGCCCGCACACGTGGCTTCAGGCACACAGACAGGCCCGTGGCTTGGCGCCCCGGGGCTCCTATCCTGGGTCTCCTCGCTGACTCACAGCGGGTCTCAACCAGGCGCTGCAGGAACTGCTAACACGTGCAGAACCGATTCAGTCAGGTTCTGACCCTTTTCGCTCGGTTGTCAAATAAAAACAGGACAAGAGCTGTTCTGTGTAAATGACTCAAAATATAGTTTTGGAAAAAGAGTATTTTCTGGTGTGCTGCAGAACCTTCGGAATTAGTTTACAGGTGCCCTGAGGAAGGCTGGACACGGGTGATATAGAGGTTAAACACGCAGGGCGGCTGCAGAGTGAGTCCACAGCCACTCCCAGGCCAGGGTCGTGCTGCGCGAGGGTCCTGGGCGCTGGGACTGGCAGGCCTGTTCCCCCCCCTCCTTCCCCCGCTCCGGCCTCGGGCAGCACAGCTGGGCAGCTGCACCCCTGCCGAGCCCCAGCTGGAGAAACAGCAGGCTGAGCCCGGGGACCAGGGCGCATCACTGAGATCTGAGACCTGAGGGCGGCGGCAGCCTGGGACAGCCGCAAGGCCCGGCCACAGCGCGCTGAGGCCCCCCAGGGCCCCGCACTCCTGCTCCACCTGCCGGGCACCGAGGCAGATGCTCGGAAGAGACAGGGATTCTCTAGAAACTCCAACACTTGCTGCAGTCATCAGGAACCAGCCTCAGAAGGTGGTCAGGCTTTGGCTTTAAAACGCCCAGCAGAACAGCGAGCCCCGGAAGAGAAGTGGGACGTGGTCTAAAGCCTCAGAACCTGGCCGCCCGGGACAGCAGGTCCCGTGAACGCCTGAGGCCCTCGGCACTCGGGAAGGCACAGCCCCATCAGCACGCGAGAGCAAACGCTCACCGAAGTGTGTTTCACGTGCGAAGGTGAGGCTTCACCAGCGGCCAGCCGCCCCCCAACGAAGCTCACAGACCCCGGCGGCAGCAGGGCTGTGCACATGGGAGTGCACCCCGCAGCACCGCCTTCCCTCTCTCCCTCCCGCTGCCGCAGCCAGTCCGCTTCACCAACACTGCTGCAGGCTCTCCGCGCACACGGAGCCATGAGCCTTCTGGGACTGAGGCTTGTGATTTCTGGGCAAGTGCACCAGGGGCTGGGCAGGAGCGCTGGACAGGCTGTCTCCCGCACAGCGCCTGCTTCGTCTGAAACCCGTGGACTGTCTGCTCTGCGTGGACGGAGACCTGACGCAAAGCAGCTGCACCGACGGCAGCCCAGAGGGCTCCAGGTGCTGGAGGGAGAAACGGAACGAGTGCTCACATGAGCCGTCGCCCTCAGCTCCCGAAGTCCTTCAGTTCCACATCCTCACAAGCACGAAACACGTGGTCCCGGGCGAGAGGGCCCGCCCGGCCCTGCCGTGCACAGGCCCCGCCGTGCACACAGGCCCCGCCGTGCACACAGGCCCTCCGTGCACACAGGCCCCGCCATGCACACAGGCCCCGCCGAGCACACAGGCCCCGCCGTGCACACAGGCCCCGCCGTGCACACAGGCCCTCCGTGCACACAGGCCCTCCGTGCACACAGGCCCCGCCGAGCACACAGGCCCCGCCGAGCACACAGGCCCCGCCGTGCACACAGGCCCTCCGTGCACACAGGCCCCGCCATGCACACAGGCCCCGCCGAGCACACAGGCCCCGCCGTGCACACAGGCCCTCCGTGCACACAGGCCCCGCCATGCACAGGCCCTCCGTGCACACAGGCCCTCCGTGCACACAGGCCCCGCCGTGCACACAGGCCCTCCGTGCACACAGGCCCCGCCATGCACACAGGCCCCGCCGAGCACACAGGCCCCGCCGTGCACACAGGCCCCGCCGTGCACACAGGCCCCGCCGAGCACACAGGCCCTCCGTGCACACAGGCCCCGCCGAGCACACAGGCCCTCCGTGCACACAGGCCCCGCCGTGCACACAGGCCCTCCGTGCACACAGGCCCTCCGTGCACACAGGCCCCGCCGTGCACACAGGCCCCGCCGTGCACACAGGCCCCGCCGAGCACACAGGCCTGGGTCGGTGGGAAACGTGTTGGGAGGAGGCGCCTGGCAGCGCCCCCGTGGGAACCGGAGGACGGGCCTTTCTGCTCGGACCCACACATCTGTCGCTGCAGAAAGTCAGCTGGCTGTCCACAGTCTACGCCTCTGCCCCACCCCTTTCCCCTCCAAACTTACACCGTTTTCTGGGGGCCTGGCCTGGGCATGTGTGGAGAGTTCTCAGGGGTGGGGGAAGCACCTGGATACGGGACGTCCCAGGGAAGCGCGAACCACACGGGGGCTGCCCACGGAGGGAAGCTGCCCGCACCCGCCCGCACCGCGGGGACCACCTGCACCCACCCTCCGGGTGGCCACCTCCCTGCACAGCGCCTGCTCCTCCGAGGGCCTCAGAGGAGGACTCACTGCTCCTTTCAGAGGGTTTATTCTAAAATCAACTTACGCGTGGAAGGATATGACCCTATTTACTGACCGAGTCTCACACAGGGTTCTTCCATTCCGCTAGTCCTTTAAGGCAGGAGAGCGGGGCGGGCGCTCCTCCCCCGCAGGGAACCCCCCACCCCCCTCCCCGCAGGGCGGCTCCTGCCTCGGGAGACAGGGCTGCTCAGAGGCCAGGCTGAGGGGAGGAGTCACAGGGAGGCCAGGCCGAGGGGAGGAGGCACAGGGAGGCCGAGGGGAGGAGGCACAGGGAGGCCCAGGGGAGAAGGCACAGGGAGGCCGAGGGGAGGAGGCACAGGGAGGCCGAGGGGAGGAGGCACAGGGAGGCCAGGCCGAGGGGAGGAGGCACAGGGAGGCCGAGGGGAGAAGGCACAGGGAGGCTGAGGCCGAGGGGAAAAGGCACAGGGAGGCCAGGACGAGGGGAGGAGGCACAGGGAGGCTGAGGGGAGAAGGCACAGGGAGGCTGAGGGGAGGAGTCACAGGGAGGCCAGGCCGAGGGGAGGAGGCACAGGGAGGCCAGGCCGAGGGGAGGAGGCACAGGGAGGCCGAGGGGAGAAGGCACAGGGAGGCCGAGGGGAGGAGGCCCAGGGAGGCCCAGGGGAGAAGGCACAGGGAGGCCGAGGGGAGAAGGCACAGGGAGGCCAGGCCAGGGGAGAAGGCACAGGGAGGCCGAGGGGAGGAGGCACAGTGAGGCCGAGGGGAGGAGGCACAGTGAGGCCGAGGGGAGAAGGCACAGGGAGGCCAGGCCGAGGGGAGGAGGCACAGGGAGGCCAGGCCGAGGGGAGGAGGCACAGGGAGACCAGGCAGAGGGGAGGAGGCACAGGGAGGCCGAGGGGAGGAGGCACAGGGAGGCCGAGGGGAGAAGGCACAGGGAGGCCGAGAGGAGAAGGCACAGGGAGGCCAGGCCAAGGGGAGGAGGCACAGGGAGGCCAGGCCGAGGGGAGGAGGCACAGGGAGGCCAGGCCAAGGGGAGGAGGCACAGGGAGGCTAGGCAGAGGGGAGGAGGCACAGGGAGGCCAGGCCGAGGGGAGGAGGCACAGGGAGGCCGAGGGGAGGAGGCACAGGGAGGCCAGGCCGAGGGGAGAAGGCACAGGGAGGCCAGGCCGAGGGTGGAGGCACAGGGAGGCCAGGCCGAGGGGAGGAGGCACAGGGAGGCCAGGCCGAGGGGAGGAGGCACAGGGAGGCCAGGCCGAGGGTGGAGGCACAGGGAGGCCAGGCCGAGGGTGGAGGCACAGGGAGGCCAGGCCGAAGGGAGGAGGCACAGGGAGGCCAGGACGAGGGGAGGAGGCACAGGGAGGCCGAGGGGAGGCGGCACAGGGAGGCCAGGCAGAGGGGAGACTGCACAGGGAGGCCAGGCCGAGGGGAGAAGGCACCGGGAGGCCGAGGGGAGGAGGCACAGGGAGGCCGAGGGGAGGAGGCACAGGGAGGCCAGGCCGAGGGGAGGAGGCACAGGGAGGCTGAGGGGAGGAGGCACAGGGAGGTCGAGGGGAGGAGGCACAGGGAGGCCGAGGGGAGGCGGCACAGGGAGGCCAGGCAGAGGGGAGACTGCACAGGGAGGCCAGGCCGAGGGGAGAAGGCACCGGGAGGCCGAGGGGAGGAGGCACAGGGAGGCCGAGGGGAGGCGGCACAGGGAGGCCAGGCAGAGGGGAGACTGCACAGGGAGGCCAGGCCGAGGGGAGGAGGCACAGGGAGGCCAGGCCGAGGGGAGGAGGCACAGGGAGGTCGAGGGGAGGAGGCACAGGGAGGCCCAGGGGAGAAGGCACAGGGAGGCCAGGCTGAGGGGAGAAGGCACAGGGAGGCCGAGGGGAGAAGGCACAGGGAGGCCAGGCTGAGGGGAGAAGGCACAGGGAGGCCGAGGGGAGGAGGCACAGGGAGGCCCAGGGGAGAAGGCACAGGGAGGCCAGGCAGAGGGAAGAGGGCACAGGAAGGCCAGGCCGAGGGGAGAAGGCACCGGGAGGCCGAGGGGAGGGGGCACAGGGAGGCTGAGGCCGAGGGGAAAAGGCACAGGGAGGCCAGGACGAGGGGAGAAGGCACAGGGAGGCCAGGCCGAGGGGAGAAGGCACCGGGAGGCCGAGGGGAGGGGGCACAGGGAGGCCAGGCCGAGGGGAGGAGGCACAGGGAGGCCAGGCCGAGGGGAGGAGGCACAGGGAGGTCGAGGGGAGGAGGCACAGGGAGGCCCAGGGGAGAAGGCACAGGGAGGCCAGGCTGAGGGGAGAAGGCACAGGGTGGCCGAGGGGAGAAGGCACAGGGAGGCCAGGCTGAGGGGAGAAGGCACAGGGAGGCCGAGGGGAGGAGGCACAGGGAGGCCCAGGGGAGAAGGCACAGGGAGGCCAGGCAGAGGGAAGAGGGCACAGGAAGGCCAGGCCGAGGGGAGAAGGCACCGGGAGGCCGAGGGGAGGGGGCACAGGGAGGCTGAGGCCGAGGGGAAAAGGCACAGGGAGGCCAGGACGAGGGGAGAAGGCACAGGGAGGCCAGGCCGAGGGGAGAAGGCACCGGGAGGCCGAGGGGAGGGGGCACAGGGAGGCCGCAGCAGCGTGAGCATCCACTCACCTTTGCAGTAGGGGTTGGCCGGGCTGAAGTTCAAGGGGAACTCGTGCGACACCTGCAGGGGGAAGGGGGCTGGTGAGCTGGGCTCGCTCCCCCCAGGGGTGGAGCCGGAGGACGGTCCCTCTCACCTGCCACTGAGGCGGAATCTGAGCTCCAAACCCAAACGCAGGGAACATCTTATCCCTAAAAGGAAATGTGAAAAGAGAAGATCGTTTTTTCCAACATGGTTTATCTTTACTCATAATAAAACCAGTATAAGCTTAGTTTTCAAACTGTTCAAATCTTAAAAAGAAAAAAAGAAAAAAAAGATTACTCCTAATTCCAGAGGAAAACAATGTTAATGTGCCAATTCAACTAAATATTTTTATGTGCTTTGAAGGAGAAAGATATCCCTCCATGTATATTTAAAAAATGGAATTTATATTCCTAATTCTAACATTCTTTCCTACTTACATACTGTACATTCCACTGAGCAAATACGATAGCTAGACCCACAAAGCCCTAAAACCACAACTCTTTTCATTGTTTATGGCAAACTCGTTTGGCAGTCAAACTTGCTCAACTGAAATGAAGTATTAATACATGAAGTTACTTACCGCCACAGAATATGAATATTCATACACTGGCCACAGAAACGTGGTACAAATGCCACATAAAACTCTCATTTCCCATCAGGCCATTCTCCATGAACCCCCAAATGAACATGCTAATTTCCCATCAGGACATCCTCCTCCATGGCCACTCATAGCGGCTCTGGCACTGAGGACAGAACCTGTGTCACACATGCCAAACCCTTCTCCCTGCTTACCATCCCTCTTTAACTTTGTCTACCGTATCTTTTACAGTTTTCAATATTAATTAATGTGAATAAACGCTATTTCACAATTTCTGCTTCCTCGCTGTCAGACTGTCAACAATCCACGCATATTTCTGCGGAACGTTCAGGGGGGTGTGACCAAAACACCCAGTGCATCCGGAAATGTTCTGGAGCCGCTGGAGGAAGCCGCTGTCCCCACAGGGTGCCCTCAGCCCGAGCCCACAGCTCCACCTGCTCCTCAGCCAGGCGGGGGAACAGAAGCCACCTGCACTGCGCGGGCCCCACACCCCGGTGCCCTCCGGTCCGCTGCCAACACTGCCCGGCCCAGGGGGGACGCTGCCCGGCCCAGGGGGGACGCTGCCCGGCCCAGGGGGAGATGCTGCCCGGCCCAGGGGGGGACGCTGCCCGGCCCAGGGGTAACGCTGCCCGGCGCAGGGGGACGCTGCCCAGCCCAGGGGTGACGCTGCCCAGCCCAGGGGGGACGCTGCCTGGCCCAGGGGGGGGGAAGCTGCCCGGCCTGGGGGTAACTCTGCCCGGCCTGGGGGTAACTCTGCCCAGCCTGGGGGTAACGCTGCCCGGCCCAGAAGGACGCTGCCCGGCCCAGGGGGGACGCTGCCCGGCCTGGGGGTAACGCTGCCCGGCCCAGAAGGACGCTGCCCGGCCCAGAGGGACGCTGCCCGGCCTGGGGGTAACGCTGCCCGGCCCAGAAGGACGCTGCCCGGCCCAGAGGGACGCTGCCCGGCCCAGGGGTAACGCTGCCCGGCCCAGAGGGACGCTGCCCGGCCCAGAGGGACGCTGCCCGGCCCGGGGGAGCGCTGTGGGTTGAGGTGCCTGTCTGTCTGAGACACGTGCCCCCCACGAGCACCACAGGGCGCAGACCTGTACTTGGCCCAAACCCCTTTGTGTGGGGTCCGTTTCTCGGCTTGTCTGTGATTAACACAGAACGGGCCTCCCTGAACGCAGGCCGCCTGAGCGCACTCGCCGGCTGCCCTCCCGCCCCGCTGTCTGAGCGCCTGTGACTCTCCTCCGTCCGCGAGGACCGCTCCCGCTGCTCCCTCTGAAAACCCGGCTGCTCGCACCTCCCTCTGGGACATGGTAAGTTACTGTCAGGATTGTTGGATTTCTTTCTAAAATGAACGAATTTAGAAAGACATTTTTATGTCTTACATCATTATGACACCTGCATATTTCTCCATTTAAGTAAATCTCCCTCTTTGTCCCTCAGTACAATTTTGTAGTTTTTCCCTCAGTGCCGATCCTGGACTTTCATCCTCGCTTTTTATTACATTCTGAATTGTGGTCTTGTATCCACAACCTCTTGAGTGAGTCATTGCTGGTGAGAGAGAGATCGCTGATTTCTATGCTGCATCTCACCACTTCCTGAAGCCTCCCTCCGTCCGTGGACTCGCAGGTGTGAACGTGTCCCCCAGGTCTGCGGGAGGGGCCAGAAGGGACGGGGGCTGGAGGGCCAGAGAGGACAGAGGGGACGGAGAGGACAGAGAAGACGGGCCAGAAGGGGCAGGAGACGGAGGGGCCAGGAGACAAAGGGGACGGGGGACGGAGGGGACAGAGGACGGAGGGGACAGGGGACGGAGGGGACAGGGGACAGAGGGTATAGGGGACCGGGGGGACAGGGACGGGGGACGGAGGGGACGGAGGGGATGAAGGGGACAGGGGACAGGGGATGGAGGGGACGGAGGGGATGGGAACGGAGGGGAGAGTGGACAGAGGGGACAGGGGACGGAGGGGACGGAGGGGACGGGGGACGAAGGGGACGGGGGACAGAGGGGACAGGGGATAGAGGGGACAGGGGACGGAGGGGACGGGGGACGGAGGGGACGGGGGACAGAGGGGACGGGGGACGGAGGGGACGGGGACGGAGGGGACGGGGGACGGAGGGGACGGGGGACGGAGGGGACGGGGGACAGAGGGGACAGGGGACGGAGGGGATGGGGGACGGATGGGACAGGGGACAGAGGGGACGGGGGACGGAGGGGATGGGGGACGGATGGGACAGGGGACAGAGGGGACAGGGGACGGAGGGGACGGGGACGGAGGGGACGGGGGACGGAGGGGACGGGGGACGGAGGGGACAGGGGACAGAGGGTATAGGGGACCGGGGGAACAGGGACGGGGGACGGAGGGGACGGAGGGGACGAAGGGGACAGGGGACGGGGGACGGAGGGGACGGAGGGGACGAAGGGGACAGGGGACGGAGGGGATGGGAACGGAGGGGAGAGTGGACAGAGGGGACGGGGGACAGAGGGGACAGGGGACAGAGGGGACGGGGGACGGAGGGGATGGGGGACGGATGGGACAGGGGACAGAGGGGACAGGGGACGGAGGGGACGGGGACGGAGGGGACGGGGGACGGAGGGGACGGGGGACGGAGGGGACAGGGGACAGAGGGTATAGGGGACCGGGGGAACAGGGACGGGGGACGGAGGGGACGGAGGGGACGAAGGGGACAGGGGACGGGGGACGGAGGGGACGGAGGGGACGAAGGGGACAGGGGACGGAGGGGATGGGAACGGAGGGGAGAGTGGACAGAGGGGACGGTGGACAGAGGGGACAGGAGACGGAGGGGAGAGTGGACGGAGGGGACGGCGGACAGAGGGGACAGGGGACGGAGGGGACGGAGGGGACGGGGGACGAAGGGGACGGGGGACAGAGGGGACGGGGGACAGAGGGGACGGGGGACGGAGGGGACGGGGGACGGAGGGGACGGGGGACGGAGGGGACGGGGGACGGAGGGGACGGGGGACGGAGGGGACGGGGGACGGAGGGGACGGGGGACGGAGGGGACGGGGGACGGAGGGGACGGAGGGGACAGGGGACGGGGGACGGAGGGGACGGAGGGGATGGGAACGGAGGGGAGAGTGGACAGAGGGGACAGGGGACGGAGGGGACGGGGGACGGAGGGGACGGGGGACGGAGGGGACGGGGGACGGAGGGGACAGAGGGGACGGGGGACGAAGGGGACAGGGGACGGGGGACGGAGGGGACGGGGGACGGAGGGGACGGGGGACGGAGGGGACGGGGGACAGAGGGGACAGAAGACGGAGGGGACGGGCTGGAGGGACTGACTGAGGTGCCGAGCGGACCCGCTATCACTACGTCTGTTTCCCCTCCCGTCTTTTAGTCTTATTCTAATTGCATACCGCTCCTTACATGCAGTCCTTGTTGGAAAATAAAAGCAGGTAAACCAGAAATTCTCCTGCCTGCAGCCACGTGCCCCACACAACTCAGTCCCCTCTCCCTCCCCTCTCCCTGAGCTCCACTGTCCAGCTCAGTCCCCTCTCCCTCCGAGCCCCATGGCCCAGCTCAGTCCCCTCTCCCTGAGCCCCACAGCCCAGCTCAGTCCCCTCTCTTTCTGAGCAAAGGTCAAAGTTAACAATGAGCCTGCCCCAAGGAGAAAGACAGATAGACATTTCGCAGCCTGTCCCGCGCGGTCAGAGTACACGCAGGAGACAGACACGCCTCCCGGGTGAGGACACAGGCGATACTCACGCGTCGTAGTCTTGAACGACCACCCCCACGGACCAGATGGCGGTCAGGTACTCGTTCACACCGTTGGGGCTGATGTAATGAAGGGAGTCGGGGGAATGCGGGTCCCCATTGGAGCCGGTGAAGTCCACCCCCACCTGCAGGTGACAATGCAGCCCTTACTCGAGAAGCAGGGCGTCCTCACAGGTGCGGGGAGAGCGGCAGGAGACGAGTCCGCCCGCAGCCCACCCCCGTGTCCTCACGAGTGTCTGCCAGTCACCCGAGCACAGCCCAGACGGCCTGCGCCCTGTCTGCCAGATGCCTAAATGTGCATCACGGCCAAACATGCCACATGAGGCACTAGGACTGCACCGGGACTACACTGTACCAGGGCTACACCAGGATTACACTGCACCGAGACTACACTGCACCGGGACTACACTGCACCGAGACTACACTGCACTGGGGATACACTGCACCGGGACTACACTGCACCGGGGATACACTGCACGGGGGATACACTGCACCGGGGATACACTGCACCGGGGATACACTGCACCGGGGATACACTGCACCGAGACTACACTGCACCGGGGCTGCACTGCACCGAGACTACACTGCACCGGGACTACACTGCACCGGGACTACACTGCACCGGGACTACACTGCACCGGGACTATACTGCACTGGGGCTGCACTGCACCGGGACTACACTGCACCGGGACTACACTGCACCGGGGATACACTGCACCGGGACTACACTGCACCGAGACTACACTGCACTGGGGCTGCACTGCACCGAGACTACACTGCACCAGGACTACACTGCACCGAGACTACACTGCACCGAGACTACACTGCACCAGGACTATACTGCACCAAGGCTGCACCTGGATTACACTGCACCGGGGCTGCACCGGGACTACACTGCACCAAGGCTGCACCTGGGTTACACTGCACCGGGACTACACTGCACCGGGGCTGCACCGGGGGCTACACTGCACCGGGACTACACTGCACCGGGGCTGCACCGGGACTACACTGCACCGGGACTACACTGCACCGGGGCTGCACTGCACCGGGGCTGCCCCGGGACTACACTGCACTGGGACTACATTGAACGGGGGCTGCACTGGGACTACACTGCACTGGGGCTACCCCGGGACTACACTGCACCGGGACTACACTGCACTGGGGCTACCCCGGGACTACACTGCACCGGGACTACACTGCACCGGGGCTACACTGCACCGGGGCTACACTGCACCGGGGCTACCCCGGGGCTACACTGCACCAGGGCTACTCCGGGACTACACTGCACCGGGACTACACTGCACCGGGGCTACTCCGGGACTACACTGCACCGGGACTACACTGCACCGGGGCTACTCTGGGACTACACTGCACCGGGACTACACTGCACCGGGGCTGCCCCGGGACTACACTGCACTGGGACTACATTGAACGGGGGCTGCACTGGGACTACACTGCACCAGGGCTGCATGGTTCTACACCGGCACTGCACTGGGACTACACCACACTGGGGCTACACTGGGACTACACTGAACCAGGACTGCACTGGGACTATCCTGCACTGGGACTGCACCAGCACTTCACCAGGACTACATTGCACCAGCACTGCACTGGTACTGCACTGCACTGGCCCTGCACCAGGACTACACATACAGGCCTTGCTTTCCACATTGGCTTGCTGGATGCTTTCTCCTGCTGAAGTTGCTGTGGGGTAACCCGCATTGGGCCCTTCTGCTCTCTGGGAGAAGGGACAGGACAGCTCCGTCTACCCAGAGTGCTGGGTCAGGCCATACACAGGCGTGCCCTCTGCCACGTCAGCTCTGCAGAGGAGCAAGGCACTGCCAAGGGGAAGGGGAGCTCCCAGGTACTCACGGTGAAGTTCAGCTGGCATCCGCCCATGATATAGTCCAGGAAGGTGCACTCCACCATGACCTGAAAGGGAGGCAGCAGACGCTCAGACTCGCCGAGCCCCCTCAGACGCGCTAACACTTCGCACTGACAGACACGGGAACACAGGGCGTCATCTGCGCCTGCGTCTGGGAGAGTCTACCTCTAGGCAATTCCAGCCCTATTCAGATTAGAATAATGGCCAGACATACCCTCACTTTACGTCTTAAGAAACTAATGATGAATCGAATATGTTGAGAGCTTTAATAGGCATAATTGTCAAGATTTTAAAAATCACGTTTGTTGTAAGAAATCTCTTGGATTTTTCCCTCACAACATCCTACCCCAACACATTGGGATGCCTCGACCCCCACTTCCTAAGGACAAAGAGCCCACAACTGGAGCTCTTCGGAGGCGCTGCCGAGCCTGGAAGCAAGTCACTGAAAGACCTCTGCTCTTCTCTACTCTGTCCTCTTCCCTGAGGAGCCCAGACGCTCATGTGACAGGGAACAGGGGATTCCAGCTGTCCCCATGCACGTGTGTGACCCCACGCCGACAGGGAACAGGGGATTCCAGCTGACCCCGCATGTGTGTGACCCCACACCGACAGGGAACAGGGGATTCCAGCTGTCCCCGTGCACATGTGTGACCCCACACCGACAGGGAACAGGGGATTCCAGCTGTCCCCGTGCACATGTGTGACCCCACACCGACAGGGAACAGGGGATTCCAGCTGTCCCCGTGCATGTGTGTGACCCCACACCGACAGGGAGAGGGAGACTCCAGCTGTCCCCGTGCACACGTGTGACCGCACACCGACAGGGAGAGGGAGACTCCAGCTGTCCCCGTGCACACGTGTGACCGCACACCGACAGGGAGAGGGAGACTCCAGCTGGCCCCGTGCACACGTGTGACCGCACACCGACAGGGAGAGGGAGACTCCAGCTGTCCCCGTGCACACGTGTGACCGCACACTGACAGGGAGAGGGAGACTCCAGCTGTCCCCGTGCACACGTGTGACCGCACACTGACAGGGAGAGGGAGACTCCAGCTGTCCCCGTGCACACGTGTGACCGCACACTGACAGGGAGAGGGAGACTCCAGCTGTCCCCGTGCACACGTGTGACCGCACACCGACAGGGAGAGGGAGACTCCAGCTGTCCCCGTGCACACGTGTGACCGCACACCGACAGGGAGAGGGAGACTCCAGCTGTCCCCGGGCACACGTGTGACCGCACACCGACAGGGAGAGGGAGACTCCAGCTGTCCCCGTGCACACGTGTGACCGCACACCGACAGGGAGAGGGAGACTCCAGCTGTCCCCGTGCACACGTGTGACCGCACACCGACAGGGAGAGGGAGACTCCAGCTGTCCCCGTGCACACGTGTGACCGCACACTGACAGGGAGCAGGGGTGTGAGCACTGCCCAGGAGGCGTCAGGTCACGGACCTCACACTGCTTCACGCTGACGATGCCAGAGTTCTTGTAACTTTTCTTCTTCTGCCTCTTTTTCTCATTGATGCACTCAAACTCCACCTGTGGGGGACAGAGCGTGTCACCGCGCGTCAGACAGGCCAGTGGGATGTAAGTGGTGACGGCCTCCTGGAATGAAACCCCCTGACTGAGTCTACTGCAGCGCCTGAGGCAATACCACGACGACTAGCAACTCAGCCATCACTGACGTCCCAACGCTCACCTGGAAGGTGCCTTTTAATACAAATCTCCTGGAAAACTCTAAGCATAACCTTTCTTCTTCACAAAGAAGAAGTAACTGTAACTCCCAGCCTTTCCCTCAGAGAGAAAACATGCTGCTCAGGAAAGAAAAGACCTGCCATGGGAACACAGAGGTGAAGCCAAGTCCTGTGTGAAATGCAGTGCCCCTCCCACTGGGCCCTGCCTCCTCCTCCCCGCCTGTCCCCTCCACCCCCTCGCCCTGGTGTCAGTCACCGCCTGGCCCTCTCCAATCTGCACCCACCGCCTGGAACATCTGCAGCCACACAAAACTGACCTACATACTTCATCGTGTTCTCACTTGTTTCCTTCACTCCTTTTTTCACAGCGAGGGGGTAACACTCCGAGTGACCCTTCGGTTCTCACTGCTGCTCCTCACACTACAGCACAGGGACTCGGTGCACATGATGAGCCCGCTCTCCCGGTTCTTAGAAAGCACCCCCTGCCCACCCGTGGTTACTGGTCTAAGAACCAAGCGTGAAGAGGTACATTTGGCAAATGATGTGAAAGAGAATCCTGCGAACCTTCTGAGGGCTCAGGTCCGAGTCTCCGTCACCACCATGAGCGCTCAGGACTGCGCGTTTCCAGTGAGGAGGCGCCCACTGGCACAGCAAAGGCCGCATCGCTTGTGCCCTTGCTCTCATCGAGCCGCCAGGGCACCGAGAGCGGACGACCAGACAGCCCTGCCTTTGCCGAGCAGCACTGAGCAAGCTGCCTGGGCACAGGGAAGCCCAGCCCGTCCCCAGTCAGTGCAGGGAACCTGCAGGATGCACACAGGGCGTCCAGTCGCCGTCACTCATCCTCGTCTGAAGGTAGGCCATTCACTGCTCCGGACACAGGCGCTGAAACCCCGAAACCACCAGCAGCCCTCCGGCTGAGCCGGGACGGTACTGCCCGTGGTCAGGTGCCCACTGCGTCCAGTTTGCTCTGCCTCAGAAAACCACCACGACGCGGAATATCTGCCTCTGCCACTGGGTTTTGCTGCTGTTTTAATCCAGTCTGTCAGCTCAGCGCCAGTCACCGCTGGCATGTAAGCCGCAGAGGGTTGGAAAGCCTCCTCCATCCCACCAGGCCTGTCAGCTGTGGGAGGGGCTGTGACCAGGAGTGGGGCCCCCGGGCCCCCTGGAAAGCCCAGCCCCTCTTGTTTGTTTACAACCCAATAAGCTAAACCAAAGGGCCCATTGGTTTCATGTATTCGTTTAGCTACGATTCCCTAACTTGAAGTCCTATCACCACGCTTCGTCCCTCCTGGGGTAAGGCCACAGCAAGGGCGGAGGTGGGCGGCCAGAGTGCACAGGTCAACCAGGCGTCTGCCCTGCTGCGGGCCCTGATTACCGTGACCCAGCACGTGCCACACGCTTCAAAACAAAGGTTTCCCATCAAACCTCGGATGCTGTCTGTAGCCAAACCAAACCAAGGCTCTGTGTGTTCCTGTAAACTCACACCGCAGCCTGGGTTCCGGGTCCTCTATTACCAACCCCTGGTCCCCGAGCACCCCGCAGCCCGGAGCGAGCCCTGGTCTGTGCTGTGCCGAGGGCGGAACCGGACAAGACGCGACTCACGGGCGAGTTCCGGGAGGCCGCCTTCAGCTGCGTCATGGTGGTCTGGAACGCCCCGATGAGGTCGTGGGAGCCGTCGTTGTCATAGTCGTAGCACTCCACCTGGAAGCAGCACAGAGAGGTCAGGCTGCGGGCCTGTTCGGCCCAGGGCTGCGGCAACGTGGGCTGACCAGCAAGTGCCTGAGCGCTCAAGTGCCCCCAAACCCTCGCCACTTGCAGATGCTCCTGGTCGGCACGCAGCAGACAGATGAACACAGACCACTCGACCTCCTCTGAGCAGCTTGTTCCCCACCCCGACCCTGGCTGGCACCTCGCCCACTTTAGTAGAATCACGCGGTGGCTGAAGCTGTCAGGAGGAAGGAGGGCTGGTGTCTGTGCAATGATTTAGATGATTTCGTTATGGACACAGTGAGTCTCCTGCCACCAGGGAGGCCTGCGCCAGTGCCAGACAGGAAGCCAGAGGGCAGTGCGCTGAGGGCAGCAGCTCCTACGAGGAAAAGCCCTCTGGGGGAAGCACTGGACCCATGAAGTCCCTGCTGCCACGCGGGGCAGGCGAGGTCCGGCTCAGGCAGGCTCTCGTTCCGTGCTTGCTGTCTCCAAGCCGAGGGCAGAGCTGAGCTGGTTTGCCTGCAGCTCAGTGCCAGGACGGAGGAGCGGAAAATAGTCACAGATCGCCTGGCCACTCGCTGCAGCAAGACTGCGGTGTGCGCTTTCCGAGAGCGAGCAGAGGGCCTCTGATGGAGCACCGTCTTCTCCGGCTGTCACTTCACAGCAGCATCGCATTCTGCAAACGCTCTCGGGCTGCACCCTGTGGCCACCCAGGCTGCTGAGGAGGCAGCGGGTTCCAGGGCTTTGGACGATGGTTTCCTGTGTGGCTCTGGAGCCATGACTGAGGCCCTGGCTCGCCACCCATCACCACATGAACGCCACGTCACCAGCTCATCACTGCAGGGAACATCTCCCCAGAGGGCTGCGCCTGCTCAGCCCCAGGAGGGAGTCGGGCAATGGCAACAGGAAGGGCTGCATTCCTTACTTTATTCCCTTTTATCCAGGAAGACAAAACGGCCATCAATTAATGAACACAAACAAGGTCCAGAGACACCGCAATCCGAGGGCTGTCGGGAGTGTCCACTTGTTGGGGGTCTTTGCTCACGGACGAGCCAGACAGCTCGACTCCCGGCGCCCTCCGTGGCCCTCCCAAGTGTCAGGGAAGAAAATGAATGATCTTAATAACTGCTTTCTAGTTGGACTAAAATTAAAATGCAGTTAAAAACAATCTTAACGCCGAGACCGGTTTGGCTCAATGGATAGAGCGTCGGTTTGGGGACTGAAGGGTCCCGGGTTCGATTCCGGTCAAGGGCCATGTACCTTGGTTGTGGGCATATCCCCAGTAGGGGGTGTGCAAGAGGCAGCTGATCGATGACTCTCTCTCATCGATGTTTCTAACTCTCTATTTCTCTCCCTTCCTCTCTGTACAAAATCAATAAAATATATTTTTTTTAAAAATCTTAACATTTTAGTAATTTCATTTAAATAGTTTTTCTTAATTATGGACAAAAGAATTCTATTTGCATTCAGGAAACTACAATTTGTACGTAAGGCAAAATCAAGCTTTGATAATGTCAAGATTTTATTTAAGCAGAGCTTATGAAGAGCAAATGTCAGCCTGCCTGAAACTTCAGGGGATGTAAAAATAGCTTCCAACGGTAATTTCTGATAACTCGCTCCACTGCCCCACGGCAGGCACATGTTTGGTGCTAAAGAAAAACAGTACATTTATAATGCTGACACGGCTTCAGGTACAGTTTGGGGGGACATTATATAATGACTGTGTCCTTTAATTTCTCAAGGATTCAAAAACTAGGACTATGGTCTACTCTAAACAACAGTACACACACCTGTACACATATACACAAGTGAGTGCACATGCCACACACACATGCACATGTATGTGATAACGCGCACGTGCATGTGTATGAACACACATGCGTACATGTGTGCGTATGAGAACACACACCACACCACAGCACATCCACTCGGCATTCCCGGTGAGGCAGGGCAGCATGCACAGCTGTTTTCCATTCGCTGGATGTTGTGGCAAGGATAGTCCATGCCGGAAGAACCACACTGCACACCCACACCGCGGCAGAGAAGCCGCCAGCCTCACACCTCCAAGCAACGCCAAACCCAGGAGGAGCACAGATGCATGGCTTTCTGATGTCACAGAGAAGCACAGACATGACGATGTGGCAGAGCACGTCTGTGTCATTAAAACACACGTTTAAGAATGGAGGCATTCATCAGGTGAGCTCGGAAACAGTTTACTTACTACAATCAGAGAGCCCTGTGCGTAAGCCACTGCGTGCAGGAGGTTTAAAAACATTGTTTCCTTGTTAACATGTTAGTACACACAATTAAGTAGTTTTGACTTAGGCAAGTTTTTTTTACAGCCTCTCTTGCTTTTCAGATAGATTGAAGCTTCAACTTACTACTGTTAATGTGAAAAGCAAAAGCTCTACATTTAGTGTGACACTGAAAAGTAACATTTTTTGAATTGTTATAGGAGTTTGTATGTGCTTTCCGGAAGGATCTATGCCAGGGAGCAAGGTCTTACCTGCTCTCAAGTTATTTTTCAAGCATCTTTTCTACTGTTTACTTTGTTCGTACTTGCCTCAGGAGTATGCGATTGCTGTGAGCTAAAGACCCGAGACCTGGGCTCCAGAGACTTCCGCTCCCCCTTAACCGTCAGAGGCGTTGTAACGAGGAGTCTGGCCTACGACAGGAGTCCTCACTCACCAGAGCGAGTGCACCCGCCCATCTCGCAGGGCGCCTAACACCCTCTCCCACGCGCTCTCCTGCAGTGCCTCCTGAGCCCCAGCGGCGCACGCTCGCTGTCCCTCTCCGAGTGTCTTCTAGTCCCCGTTTCCCTGTGGCTCTGACTCTGCTGCGGGGGCACTCCCCTACGTAGGCACAGTTCCTCTTGCTGATCTGCCTTGTGTCTCTCTGAGTGTTAGACCAGGAGGAAGACCCTGAGAGGGAGGAAAGCTTGTTCCCAACCCCCATCCCTAACCTGCATTTCACTGCTGCTGGGTGGCACACACACTCCTTGGTATTAATCTTAAATTCTCCCTGCTGAAGACAAACAGATGGACCTAGGAAATGAGGCTTCCAGCCATAACAGCCCCTGCGCTGCCTTTAAAAGCAAGACTTCCCTTTCCACCAATTTAGCCCTTATTTTCTCTGCTGTACAAGTGGATATGGCAGCTGACCTGCCCAAGATCCCTTCGCTGTTTAAAGAGCGGAATCGGGACTCGGGCTGTGGTCTGACTCTACATCCGACCTTGTTCCAGGCCACCCGCCCTCCCCTCCGCCCTCATCACATCCCTTACAAAACCAGCAAGACCCATCAGCTTGCTGGCACAGGGCACAGGCAAAGGCTTCTCTCTGGGATCTATGTCAAATGGCTCTAGTATAAAAGTGTCTTTAAAGATAGGTTTTTGATGAGACGTGATAAATAAGAACGATCAAAGATTCTTAGACACCTGCTGTGGCTCCCTGCTGCCGCTCTGCCCTTGGACCTGACAATAAGCCACCACTGTCTTCAGGGCTGCACTTTGCTCTGGAAACAAGAGGGAAAACCACTGGTCCTCTCCGTGCTGAGGCGGCAGATGGTGCTGGCTCTGGTTAAAGGAACGCCTGCTTTTATCCACAAGGACACGCCAATGGCACAGAGGGAGCGAAAGGCTCCTATTCACAGAGCAAAGGGATCCTTTTAAAAGGAAGAAACGTTTAAACTGGACATTTTATTTTAAAAATGAAGTGTAAAATAAAAATCACAATGTTGGATTCAGCATTGGGTGGACTATCAGTCAAACATGTTGATTCTTCAAACTCTTTACCTACCACACACCCCAATTCAGGGTTCCCAGGCCCAGACAAAGGGAGTCCCACAGGCTTGTCCCATCACTTTCTTTCTTTAAAATTACCTAACCCCGTGGTTGGCAAACTGTGGCTCGAGAGCCACATGCGGCTCTTTGGTCCTTTGAGTGTGGCTCTTCCACGAAATACCACGGCCTGGGCGAGTCTATTTTGAAGAAGTGGCGTTAGAAGAAGTTTAAGTTTTAAAAATATGGCTCTCAAAAGAAATTTCAATCGCTGTAATGTTGATACTTGGCTCTGTTAACTAATGAGTTTGCCAACGACTGACCTAACCAATTAAGTGTATAAGAGAGGTGAGTTTGTGTATGTAATTTCAAATTACCTTAATAGTCTTATCCATATCTCCGTAGCACAGGGAGTTCAGAGAAATTTTAAAAGGCCTCCACACAGGGTTCAGGTTGTTTTTAATGACCTAGAAAATGGAGATGCAGAGACGCGTTAGGAAGCACGGAATTCACCGCGTTCTGCTCTCGCCTTTCCCCGTCCGGGTGGTGCTACGACCTCGCCAGCTGGTCACCTGTCCACGGACACATGCTGGGATGTACCGCCCTCTGTCCGTGACGGACTCTCTGGTCAGCACACGTGCTGCAGGAAGCACGTTGGCAAGGGGTCCCACCCACAAGGGCGCCTTAGGAACCAGGTTTCCATGCGGCAGAGGACTCAGTCCGAGAAAGAACCATGCTGGGTTGGATGAATTAAAGAGACAGTCTTACATCCATCATTTCTATAGACATCATAGGCAGATACAAGCAAATGTAGTTTCCAGCTGTGTCCCCTGCAGGGGCCCAGCTGCAAGAGCACGTGAGCCCTCAGATCTTGGTGTCTGAATACCTCCACCTCTCAGAGACTGGGTCACTTCAAAGAAATGGGTCACCCCAGTCTGGCTCCACAAGCACATACAAATCGAGGCTCATGTCAGAAGCCAGGAGCCATTGAAGGCACGCCCTGTCAAATCCAGATACTGCGGAACCTCGCTTTGCAAACTTAATTCATTCCGGAAGGCTGTTTGAAAATGGCATCATCATCTCCCACTAGAGATCATGTAAATGGAAGTAATCTGTTCCAGACCCCCAAACGATCCTGTTTTAACCTTTCTTATACACAGTGCATGTCTATTTACTGTTTAATCTATAAATAAACTCTTTAAAAACAAAAGGACATGAAATGTAAGTGAAAGTTTAACAAAAAGGGAAAATTTAATAATAATTATAAGCAGCAACAAAAGCAAAAACACACAAAATATTCACAGCACAGGATCCTGAGATGCTAACAGAGGGGAACTGACTCGTATTTGTGCGTTCTCTCCTTTATCTGTTGCCTGAGAAACACGTGATTCTTCATAAGGCATCAGTAGGAAAGGGCTGTAGCTGAGCAGAGAATTGTTGGAGATGGGAGACATTTGAGAAACGGGGCCCACTGGACTCTGAACAGGAAAGAGTGATAAACATGAGCACCTTGTGCTCCAGCCATCCATGAGCCCACCATGCCGCTGAAGACAAAAAGGAGGAAGTGAGAGGAAGCACCGCTAATCCATGTGCAGGGACAGAAGATGGAGAAAACAACACTGTGTGTAACCTCAGTCCGATGGTAATAAGTGAGACTCGGGCACGATGGTCAGCAGAAGCTAAAGCAGGGTGAACTGCGGGAGAACAGCCTGCGGGGCTGCATCACAGACCACCAACTCCTCACAACTGAGACCCAGCTGGACTGGCTGAGGCAGAGCCCAGAGCGTGGGCATGCACGGCTGATTACTGGAGAGGTTCGACGGCGAAAGGCTGGGGAGGCAGGGAGAAAGTCTTACATGGAGAGGATGTAAAAACAGCCAATTGCCACGTGGGAGCCTTGACTGAAAAACAACACAAAACAAGATGCTTACAGCATGCGGGACGCTAGGGAGACCTGTGCACAATGCTATAAACCACACCAACGCTGAAGTGCGGCTGGGCAGCAGAAACCCCGGCTCTGCTCTGCCGAGGTGGAGTCACATCTGCAGCCTCACCAGGAAGGCTCTGCAAGAGGGTACTACCTGCGTGCAGGTGTGCGAGTCCCTGTGTGTATGCAGGTGTGTGTGTGTCGGTGTCAGAGAGAGAGAAAGAAGGAGCACACATGTGCAGACCAAATGTACAAAAATGTACAGGGAATGCATTATAGTGTTCTTTAAAGGGTTATACATTTCTCAAAATACAAACTTCACTAATAAAAGAAAAAATGAGCATGCTGACCTTGTGTCTGGTTATATATGTCAAAACTCAGATTGCTATTTTTATAGAAACAATTTTTTTAAAATTCAGATTACTACATCCCCCGGGAAACCTCAGCCCTGCCTCCCAGCCTCACACACTCACCTCTGTTCGGTGCACCAGCAGCCAGGTTCCGTCCGACGTCTGCTTGTGGAACTCCAAGTAAGGGTCGGACTTGCCAAACAGGTCCTACGTCAGAGGGAGAAGGCCGTCCTTCTCGGCGCCGCTCTGGCTGTGGCACCCACTCTGCCCGTGGCACGCTAACACCGCGCTGCCCTCCCGGGGCAGGTCTGCGTGCCAGCACTGCAGGGCACAGCCCTCTCCCTCCGCACCAATGCGCCCGTCTCCCCAGAGAAGAGGCATTTCTGATGAAAGCCCTGACCCTGCGCACACAGCCTCGCTTCTCAACACACACGGTGCTTCACAACAGTGAGCACTACGCCCGCACCAATAAGCACGTTCTCTGCTGGCCATAGGCCTAACTGCTCCCTCACACAGCTCTGGCGCGTTCTGGGAGCAGCATGCCAACACCAGGCGCTAACTCTGAGGGACAGCGACCAGATGGACGCAGAGGGATCACGTCAGGTCACATCTGATTGCTGACGGATCGGAGTCTTGACTCCACATCTATCCTCAGGGTCCAATCCCACACGCCAGGGAGCAGGGGCAAGTATGTGGAGAAGCCACGGTTACCTCATGGTTAGAGTCCCTCCTTTCCTCTTAGTTCCCCACAGCACCTATGCATGCACAGCAGCCCGCGTGCTCAGAGCTGCCCTTCCCACATCCTCCACACACACACACACACACACACACACACACACACACACAGATACACACACTCACAGACACATCCATACATACACACACAGAGGCACTCATAGATACGCACACAGATACATACAAATACAGAGACACAAACACAAACACATAGATCCATACAGACCCTCAGACACACAGAGACACACGGGCACATACAGAGACCTCACACTCACGTACACACACACAGTCACAGCAACACAGACATTTACAGACAGACACACAGATTCACACACACACACATACACGCACTTCACAGAGACACACAGACACACACAGAGACCTCACACTCACGTACACACATACAGAGACACATTCACAGATGGACACACAGATTCACACACACCTCAGAGACACACAGACACACACAAAGACCTCACATTCACGTACACACACAGAGACACATTCACAGATAGACAGACACACAGATTCACACACACACACCTCACAGACACTCACAGAGACAGAGACACACATTCACACACACACAGGCTCTCACAGACACACCCCAGGACAGCGGGCCTGGAAGGAACTAATGCTCCGGGCTGCACCCCTCCTTTCCCAAACAGGATCTACGGGAGGCACATAGGAGGCGCCTGTATCCCTACCCACCTTGTTGTCCAGTTTTCTTGCTTCCATTTCAAACAAGACCACTCTGTTATCCTTTATTTCTTCAGCGGAAATCTATGAGATCGGGTGAGTGAAAGAAGAGTGATTTAGGGATTCTGACACAGTACTGATATTCTGTTACCTAACAGTGTACAAACTCAGTATCAGTACAAATGATCACTAAAATGGTGCCACTGAGAGATCTTTCATGTTAGCTTTCACACACGTGCAATAAGCATGTGCCCAACCCTGCTAATCCTGCGTTTGGCACCTTCCTTTGTAGACGCCATCGCCCCAGCGGCATCTCCCCAATCCAAGGAAAAGCGCGGCTGGGCACACACCAGCTGCAGCCTGCGAACCCCGAGCTGGGAGCTCAGCAACCCTGGCACACCCGCAGCTGAGATCACCGTTTCCACACGACCTCACCGGCCACTGCTCACAGCCAGGTGCCGGCCCAGGAGCAGTACGGCGGCTGCGGGCGGCGTTCTGGGCCACCAGCCGCTCCCCCCAGACGCTCATGCTTGTGCTGGAGAAGTTTAACCCGGAGCAAACCAGCTGCTCAGGCAGCACGGCGCAGCCCTCCGAGGCTCGGGAGCCCGCCTTCGTCCAGCTCAGGTCAGAACCAGGGCTCCGGAGGGGGAGCCTGAGGAGCGGCGTCCTGCGCGGGGCTCGGCCTGGGGCCGGCGGGAGGGCGGCACCGGGTGCAGGGCTAAAGGGGAGGCCATGCCATGTGAGACCCGACGGAGTGAAGCCGTCTGGACAGGGTCTCACAGAGCCCGGAACCGTCCCATGCCGTCGGGTCTAAGTGGGGGAGGGGGCTCCTGGGGCGAGGAAGCACCACGAGGGGCCTGACTCCTTGGCCATCATAAAACGCAAAGGGATTCGTGAGTGAGTTTTTCTTTCTTTTCTGACACACGTCACACAGGGGTCGGTGATGGCTCCCCAGCAGGAAGGGGGCACCACCGGGCTGGCGTGACCAGGCTTGTGGGCACCTGCCGGCAGCCCCACGTGCCCCTCACCTCCGAGGCACAGACAAGGTCTCTTACCGTGATGCTGCCCTTCCCCGCGGGCTTGCCGTTCCTCAGCATCAGCGGGCGCGTCAGCTTCTTACTGGACACGATCTATAATGGGCGGAAGGTGAGAGAGCTTTTCCACTGCATCTGGCCAACTTCTAACTGAACGGTTTTGACAAAGAGATTGAGCATAAATTTCATTTAGCAGGTCATTCAGCCCGGCCGGTGTGGCTCAGTGGCTGAGCATCGCCCTATATAAAGCAGGTCACGGTTCGATTCCCGGTCAGGGCACATGCCTGGGTTGCAGGCTCAATCCACAGTGGCGGGGTGGAAGGGGGCAGGAGGCAACCGATCAGTGATTCTCTCTCATCACTGATGTTTCTCTCTCTCTCTCTCCCTTCCTCTCTGAAATTAATTAAAAAAAAAACAAACCTATTTTTTAAAAATGAATAAAAAGGATCATTAGAAATGGAAACATTAAGCCCATCCTAGAAGGGCGCAGTGATTCTGAAACACATGGACCCATGGGAAACCCACAGAAACCATTTCCAAGAGCTGTGACCTCCCTGCTCCCGCCCACTAGTTCCCTTTTCAACTCCTTCCAACATGAATTTCTGACATGTGATGGGGACGAAGGCCAGACTCATCTCTCACTAATCATGGAGCTGAACCCACTGAAAGGCAGGCCTGGCCTCAGGACTCTCAGCAAATGGGATTCAATGTGTCCCCTGACACGTAACCCTCACATATGTAACCCACCAGATACACTGACTAACATAACACTGTAGACCCAGTCCTCCCCTCAGCCATAATTTCTCAAATTCACTTTAATGCTAGCCATAATGGCTTTTTTTTTTTAATTAACTTTCCTTGGATGCCATTTATCAACGTTTTAGAAAACCGATCAACTCCATGTTGCCCAAGACAACAGCAAAGCCGAGATCCCCCAACACTGAACGTGAGTCCTTCCTAGAGGTGACCCCAACCCGGACGCAGCCAGGACCTCTCGTGGGAAGTCGGCGCGGAGCCCAGGCCCAGCCTCCCTGACCGAGCTTGTCCGCCCCGGGAAGACACAGCCTCCCTGACCGAGCTTGTCCGCCCTGGGAAGACACAGCCTCCCTGACCGAGCTTGTCCGCCCTGGGAAGACACAGCCTCCCTGACCGAGCTTGTCCGCCCTGGGAAGACACAGCCTCCCTGACCGAGCTTGTCCGCCCCGGGAAGACGTACTAGGTGACGAGGATAAACAGGAGGGCAGGAGAGCGCACCCCACCCGGCGGGCACCGGAGGCCACAGACTCTGGGTTTACAGGATGAGCCCGGCCGAGCAGCAGCGTGCCGGGTGGCATGGTGTGGGCGTCGGGCCAGTCCTGCCAGCGGGACCATCAGCTGCCACTGCGATGGATTGAGCTGGGGCCCGCACGCCGGGCGGCTGCAGCGGGTTCACTCCTGATGTGGGACGAGCACCCGACTCCAGGACTGAGGGGCCTGGCACACGCTCCCGCCCTAGGAAAACCGGGATTCCGCTTCCCTCACCGACCACGCCGGCTGTGAGCTCCGTCCGCAGGTGGCCCATGGTTCCCAACTTTCAAAGTTACACTAAGGAGCACAAGTGAAAATGACAGCAACAGGGAACAGTGGGCAACACTGTACCAGTGTGGGGCAGGTGGGGCGGGGCGCGGAGATTGGGAGCAGTGCCTGCCTGGCTCTTTGCCCTGCCCCCGGACCAGGACAGGTAACATGCCAACTCCAACTGGAAAACGCAGAAAACTCTGTGAAGGCCCAGCTCGCTGCGCCCTCTGCCCCGCGCACACCCACCTGTCCCAGGGTGCATTCACAGCTCCCTGGCCACCATCCGCCCCGCGCACACCCACCTGTTCCAGGGTGCATTCCCAGCTCCCTGGCCGCCCTCCGCCCCGCGCACACCCACCTGTCCCAGGGTGCATTCCCAGCTCCCTGGCCGCCCTCCGCCCCGCGCACACCCACCTGTCCCAGGGTGCATTCCCAGCTCCGGCCGCCCCCTGCCCCGCGCACACCCACCTGTCCCAGGGCGCATTCACAGCTCCCTGGCCGCCCTCTGCCCCGCGCACACCCACCTGTCCCAGGGTGCATTCACACTCTCCCAGGAAGTCATCGTCGCCCAGCTCGATGGTCTTGTTGTCGATGTCATAGACCCCGAATTTCAGTTTCTGCACCACCTCGAAGTAGTAGTCAATGATGAAGGTCTTGGAGAACGTGGGGTTCAGGCAGTTCTTAATCCTCTCCGTGCGATCCGCCTGTGCCCCGGAACAAAAGGGGTCAGGTCAGTGGCAGCCCAGATCTCAGTATCTCACCGGCCACCCTGGACGCAGGGGGCCTGACGGCTAAGGAGGCTCCGTCCGTGTGTAAGCTTCCGGTCAGGGACACACCTGCCCCACACTGCACTACCTGTGTGGTGGTTTCCTGACTGTAACATGGGTAAGCTCTTCACGTCGCCAATAAACAATCCACTCGCTTTCACGTGTTAACATACCTCATACCACTGCTGTCCGCTCGAGTTCAGAAACAGCACGCACAGAGGGTCTGACTTGGACCCGATGTCTGCGTCCAGAAGGTTGTCACAGGACACGTTCAGCTCCACCTTCGTCACGCACTGGGCGGCCATCTCCGAGCTGTGAGAAGCCACGTGCGAGAGGGGCCTTGAGAAGCCATGTTCCCAGGAAGCCGCAGAGCTTGTCAGGACCCTGTCTGACCAGGGCGGTCAGGGGGCCCAGGGAGACAGAGGACCAGGAGGGACGGGGGGGGGGGGGGCAGCGGGGGATCAGGAGGACCAGGCAGGTCAGGGGGACGAGGAGGGACTGAGAGGGACAGGAGGAACCAGGGGGGTATCAGGAGGACCAGAGGGGAGCAGGGTGGGTCAGGGAGACAGAAAGACCAGGGGGGACAGAGAAGGAAAGGGGGGATCAGGAGGATCAGGGAGACAGAAAGGGACAGGGTGGACCAGGGGGCCAGGGGGGATGGAGAGGGAAGGGGGGAGATCAGGGGACCAGGGAGACAAGGGGGACGGAGAGGGATCAGGGGAGCCCAGGGAGATCAGGGGGCCCAGGTGGACCAGGAGGGACCGAGAGGGACTGGGAGGGACTAGACTCTCGCTTAGAACAGAGCTCACTTACTGGGACGGAAATGCAGTTTCTACGGCGGCAACTGAGACTTAATCACCCGGCCGGCGGGGCTCAGTGTCGACCTATGAACCAGAAAGTCACGGTTAGATTCCCAGTCGGGGCACATGCCCAGGTGTGGACGTGCAGGAGGCAGCGATCAATGATTCTCTCTCATCATTAATGTTTCTATCTCCCTCCCTCTCTAAAATCAATAAAATATATATTTTTTAAAAAGATGAATTGTCTTTTCACTTCACTATAAATTTTACCACTCAGAAAAACTCAAAGCATTAAGCTAAGAAATAAAACACATAAAACTACAACCTTAATTATAAATTGCTCATTTAACAAGATGCTAAAGGAGATACTTTCTATTTTCAAAGAATTTTAGCTAAACACCCCCCCCTCCCCCCGCCGCACATAGAGCCCTACATAGAGGCCTCCGCTGCCGGGCTGGGGCTAATGCAGACGAGGTGGAGAGGCCGTTTTCCTGCTCCCACTCCCGCTCACGCGCCCTGCAGACCCGCCAGAAACACCAAGCCTGTCACACTGAGCGAAGAAGAGGCCTGGGGACAGAGGAGGCCGGGGGCTGGCCTTGAGAGGTGACCATGCTCAGGGGAAGAGACAGATTGCTCCCCTCCTCCCACTCTGCTACCTCCAGCGAGACATGGGGTGCTGGCATGGAGGGCCCCAAGCTCCCGGAGACGGAACAAGGAGGCAGGCTTCGCGGTCCTAATTCGAGGAGCCTGTGAAGAGCGGCGGTGCACCCGTCTCACTGGGGAGTCAGTCCTCACGTGGGACAACGCACAGACCCAGTGCCTCCTGGGAGTCACTCCTCACGTGGGACAACGCACAGACCCAGTGCCTCCTGGGAGTCACTCCTCACGTGGGACAACGCACAGACCCAGTGCCTCCTGGGAGTCACTCCTCACGTGGGACAACGCACAGACCCAGTGCCTCCTGGGAGTCACTCCTCACGTGGGACAACGCACAGACCCAGTGCCTCCTGGGAGTCACTCCTCACGTGGGACAACGCACAGACCCAGTGCCTCCTGGGAGTCACTCCTCACGTGGGACAACGCACAGACCCCAGAGCCTCCTGGGAGTCACTCCTCACGTGGGACAACGCACAGACCCAGTGCCTCCTGGGAGTCACTCCTCACGTGGGACAACGCACAGACCCAGTGCCTCCTGGGAGTCACTCCTCACGTGGGACAATGCACAGACCCCAGTGCCTCCTGGGAGTCAGTCCTCACGTGGGACAACGCACAGACCCAGTGCCTCCTGGGAGTCACTCCTCATGTGGGACAATGCACAGACCCAGTGCCTCCTGGGAGTCACTCCTCACGTGGGACAATGCACAGACCCCAGTGCCTCCTGGGAGTCAGTCCTCACGTGGGACAACGCACAGACCCAGTGCCTCCTGGGAGTCAGTCCTCACGTGGGACAATGCACAGACCCCAGTGCCTCCTGGGAGTCAGTCCTCACGTGGGACAACGCACAGACCCAGTGCCTCCTGGGAGTCACTCCTCATGTGGGACAATGCACAGACCCAGTGCCTCCTGGGAGTCACTCCTCACGTGGGACAATGCACAGACCCCAGTGCCTCCTGGGAGTCAGTCCTCACGTGGGACAACGCACAGACCCAGTGCCTCCTGGGAGTCACTCCTCACGTGGGACAATGCACAGACCCCAGTGCCTCCTGGGAGTCAGTCCTCACGTGGGACAACGCACCCAGATCCCTGTGCCTCCTGGGAGTCACTCCTCACGTGGGACAATACACAGACCCCAGTGCCTCCTGGGAGTCACTCCTCACGTGGGACAACGCACAGACCCAGTGCCTCCTGGGAGTCACTCCTCACGTGGGACAACGCACAGACCCAGTGCCTCCTGGGAGTCACTCCTCACATGGGACAATACACAGACCCCAGTGCCTCCTGGGAGTCACTCCTCACGTGGGACAACGCACAGACCCCAGTGCCTCCTGGGAGTCACTCCTCACATGGGACAATACACAGACCCCAGTGCCTCCTGGGAGTCACTCCTCACGTGGGACAACGCACAGACCCAGTGCCTCCTGGGAGTCAGTCCTCACGTGGGACAACGCACCCAGATCCCTGTGCCTCCTGGGAGTCACTCCTCACGTGGGACACCGTGCACAGACCCCAATGCCTCCTGGGAGAGTCACTCCTCATGTGGGACAATGCACAGACCCCAGTGCCTCCTGGGAGTCACTCCTCACGTGGGACACCGTGCACAGACCCCAATGCCTCCTGGGAGAGTCACTCCTCACGTGGGACAATGCACAGACTCCAATGCCTCCTGGGAGTCAGTCCTCACGTGGGACAACGCACAGACCCAGTGCCTCCTGGGAGAGTCACTCCTCACGTGGGACACCCTGCACAGACCCAGTGCCTCCTGGGAGAGTCACTCCTCACGTGGGACAATGCACAGACCCCAGTGCCTCCTGGGAGTCACTCCTCATGTGGGACAATGCACAGACCCCAGTGCCTCCTGGGAGTCACTCCTCACGTGGGACAACGCACAGACCCAGTGCCTCCTGGGAGTCAGTCCTCACGTGGGACAATGCACAGACCCCAATGCCTCCTGGGAGTCACTCCTCATGTGGGACACCACGCACAGACCCCAATGCCTCCTGGGAGTCAGTCCTCATGTGGGACACCACGCACAGACCCCAATGCCTCCTGGGAGTCAGTCCTCATGTGGGACACCACGCACAGACCCCAATGCCTCCTGGGAGTCAGTCCTCATGTGGGACACCACGCACAGACCCCAATGCCTCCTGGGAGTCAGTCCTCATGTGGGACAATGCACAGACCCCAGTGCCTCCTGGGAGTCACTTCTCACATGGGACACCACGCACAGACCCCAGTGCCTCCTGGGAGAATCACTCCTCACGTAGGACACCGTGCACAGACCCTAATGCCTCCTGGGAGTCACTCCTCAAGTGGGACACCGCGCCCAGACCCCTGTGCCTCCTGGGAGTCACTTCTCACATGGGACACCGGGCACAGACCCAGTGCCTCCTGGGAGTCACTCCTCATGTGGGACAATACACAGACCCCAGTGCCTCCTGGGAGAATCACTCCTCACGTAGGACACCGTGCACAGACCCTAATGCCTCCTGGGAGTCACTCCTCAAGTGGGACACCGCGCCCAGACCCCTGTGCCTCCTGGGAGTCACTTCTCACATGGGACACCGGGCACAGACCCAGTGCCTCCTGGGAGTCACTCCTCATGTGGGACAATACACAGACCCCAGTGCCTCCTGGGAGAGTCACTCCTCATGTGGGACAACGTGCACAGACCCCAATGCCTCCTGGGAGTCACTCCTCACGTGGGACAATGCACAGACCCCAGTGCCTCCTGGGAGAGTCACTCCTCATGTGGGACAACGTGCACAGACCCCAATGCCTCCTGGGAGAGTCACTCCTCACGTGGGACACCGTGCCCAGACCCCTGTGCCTCCTGGGAGTCACTTCTCACATGGGACACCGGGCACAGACCCAGTGCCTCCTGGGAGTCACTCCTCATGTGGGACAACGTGCACAGACCCCAATGCCTCCTGGGAGAGTCACTCCTCACGTGGGACACCGCGCCCAGACCCCAGTGCCTCCTGGGAGAGTCACTCCTGATGTGGGACAACGTGCACAGACCCCAATGCCTCCTGGGTCACTCCTCACATGGGACACCGCACCCAGACCCCAGTGCCTCCTGGGAGAGTCATTCCTCATGTGGGACAACGTGCACAGACTCCAATGCCTCCTGGGAGAGTCACTCCTACGTGGGACACCACACACAGACCCTAATGCCCCCTGGGAGATCCACTCCTCACGTGGGACAATGCACAGACCCCAATGCCTCCTGGGAGAGTCAGTCCTCACATGGGACACCGCGCACAGACCCCCCAATGCCTCCTGGGAGAGTCACTCCTCACGTGGAACACCGGGCACAGACCCCCCAATGCCTCCCGGGAGTCGGCCAGAAGTCGCAGAGAACCAGAAATTTCAAGGCCCTCACTGGAGTCAGGCTTTCTCACTCACATGCACTGAGGCCCGAGGAGGCGTACCTGGACCCCAAGGTCAGGGGACCGTGCTGTGGCCCAGGATGGCTGGCAGCGCTGGCCTGGAGGATCGTGAGCAGGTGAGAGGGGACCGCAGCATACTGAGAGCCGATGCCAGGGGCACAGCACGTAGCTCAGTGAGCACAGAGCGCGCAACCAGTGGGGAGCCACACTGGGCAGGACGGGCGAGAGGCCAGGGGCCTGAGAGCCAGGCTCAGGGGCTCAGTGGGTGGGCAACAGGTGCCACTCCAAGGCCTCAAAAAGGAGGAGAAGAAATGCTCATTTCAGACGTCTCTGCATCAAATCTGCTCTAGGCGCTGCGAGTCTGGTCACTGACAGGCGCCAGCAAGGCTCTGGTTCCAGCCACACAGGATGCAGGGGTAGCACCAAGGTCAGCCGTCTTCGCATCGCCCGGGCCAGGGGCGGGGCAGCAGCGGGCACCCGGTGCCCTGTGACCACAATCACCATCCTCTCCCGCTTGGGTTTGAGAAAGGGAAGTGCGACAGAGGGTCAGAGGCTCGAGGAAGTGGGCAGGACGAAGACAGGAAACAGAGGCGGAGACCTGCCTCTGAAATGCAGGTAACACAGAAATCCCAAACAAGTCAGCTCCCAATCACCCCAACCTTCCCAAGTCAGCATTACATGAGAGACGATGCAAAGGCGCCAAACGTCAAGAGCGGATATCTGAAGGGCCTGGCGTATGAACTAGGCCCAGGGCCTCCCAGGCCCTGGCGAAATCCTGAAGCCCGGTATAAACGCCCTCCCGCTCCCCCTCCCCGCTCTCCCCCCCAACTTGGGCCCTGTGCTCTGATATGATGCAAACAACATCCCTGGCTGCCAGGGACTTCCTGCTCTGCCCCACCTGCCCAGCCGACCTTAGCCAGCAGCTCCCTCTGCCCACGCCCCGTCTTCCAGGTCCACTTTGAGTGACAGCTCCTTCCTAGGGGCAGCCCAGCAACCTCCTGGGGCAAATGCCGTGCACAGGCCAGGCTGCTCAGC